TGGCGACCCTTAAGACTAACCAATCATGTTAAGCCTTATTATTATTGCATTTAACTTTATTATATATATAAACTTAGAAACATATGACTATGTATCAATAAGGCAATAGCAAAACTATACAAAATATGTATACGTAATACCTCCTTAAATTCATATTTTTCCTTTACAGGAATTTTTACGCAAATTTAATCCTTCAAAGAATTCTATCTTCTTAATATGTACTTAATCATGTGTTATAGCATAGTCTCGAAATAATGTGGCCTTGTCACTTTGTTAACAGTTAATTACTTATTACTGCTGGAGTGCGTTACGATCAGAACGTAATATATATGCACATACATGTGTATGCTTTTTTATAATCAGAAAGTATACAGTATTTATTTTCAAAATAAATTTTTATCATTACCATGTCTTTTAATTAAAGATTTTGCACTTGTTATATAACAAAATAAGATGGCAAAGTAGCATGATGAATCAAACAAAAAGTAAAATGACGAAACAAACGAAACAAATGAAAAGTAAGAATATTAAAGTTATGGTCTAGATTTCAGTTTAGAAAGGGAGACAAGAAGAGAAAAAAAAAAAAAAAAAAAAAACAAGCGAATAAAAAGGAGTGACAAGAAAAAAAAAACAAGTGAATAAAAAGGAGTGACAAAAAAAAATTTTTTTGAAAATATTAAAGTCTTTTAAATTTCAAGTCTCTCTTTAGTAAAAAAAAAAAAACGATACATAGAAAAAAATTAGCGAAACGAAGCACATGCAAGAGTACAAAAAAAAACAATTTTAATATGAATGAGTCAGTTGCAGAACCTGAGGTATTAGATAGTCAAGCCACAGAACTTGAGATGTTAGATCGTCAAGACGTGGAACTAGAGGTGCTAGCTACATACGATAATATGGATAATCTTTTTGACATTGATAAGTAAGTAATAAAATTGCTTAAGTTTTATTTTTATGATTGGTTTCAGTTTTTTTCATTACTATTCTTTATTTAGTCTTGATGATGACAAAGGGCTTTTTGTTAGCAAAACTTTTGAGGACTGGGATCAAGTAGCCAACTTTATGAAAAAATATGTTGCTGCTAAAGGTCATAGTATATGAATCAGTGGTGGTGGAAGAGTAAATGCAGAAAATCAAAAAGTAATAAAATGGACATATTTGTGTTGCCATGCTGGAAAACCAGTAGAAAAATCAAGTGGAGTATCTTGCCAAGTAGGATGCCCCTGGAGAGTTAATTTTTGGTTTAAAATAACAAAAATTGTCTGGAAGTTACAGCTTTTAATAACCAACATGTTGGTCATGAACTTAATCCGTTAGTGAGCCGTTTTGATCCAATGCTATGAAAGCTGCCAAAGGACATTGTTGAAGAAATTCATTTTTTAACAATCGTTGCAAAAGCGAATGCAACTATGCAGTATAGGATAATTCAAGAAAAATATAAGGTTAGGATATATTGATCAGATTTGTACAATACAATTCAGATGTTTCGGCGTGACTCAGTGCCAGGTAAAGATGATGCAGGAATGTTGTTAAAAAGGCTTAATGAAAAAAAAATTGAAGATCCACAATGGGCTGTTTCAATGGAATTTGACCCAGTCACTTCTTCCTTAACTCACCTTTTCTGTATGAGTCCAGAACAGCAAATCTTTTGACTACGCTACCATGATGTGATAATGCATGATAATACGTGCAAAACTAATTGTTATAATCATCCTTTGTCAATCTTCGTTGCACCTGATAATAATTTGAAAACACAGATCGTAGCTCAAGCAATTGTTGATAATGAAACACAATCCTCATATGAATGGGTCTTTAATTGTATTTTAAATGCAACTGGTTTAGAACCAAAAGTCTTGATAACAGATGGTGATCTGGCAGTTAATGGCTCTGTCATAGCGCAATTTCCCAATGCATTTCACATATATTGCATTTGGCACATAAGTCAAAATTTACCAAAAAATCTAAAAGGGATAATTGGTTCTAGTTATGATAATTTCATGAAAGACTTTTATACTATGAGGAATAGCCTCACAGAAGAAAAATTCAATGAAAGGTAAATATAATAGTACATTAATACTAAATCACACTAGTGGTGTTTGATACCACATCGTCTTGCTAGTAATTTTTAAGATTAGGGATCGTAAGCTAAAGTAAAGTTATTTTAGTTAAGTGAAATTATACATAGGTGTCTAAATTACTCCTCTTAATAAAAAATGATATCGACATATAGTCTGTCAAAATTAATTTTTCTTAGTAGCAAAATTAATTTTCATAGTTGAAATTTTTAGTAAAGTTATTTGAATTCTTTATGCCAAAATACATTAGCATTGTTACTTTGTGGAATTCATATAAACAAACTAGCAATGTCGAAATGTTTGTTGAAATTGCTTTTTTAAAAAAATAATCTAGACACTTATATATAGGTGAGATTTTTGGGGGTCGAACACTTTGCTTAGTACTTACCACTGATGCGATTTAGTAAAACCATAATAGTATTATTGCTTTACAAAGATTTTGTAACATATTTTTTATTTATTTATAGATGAGAAAAATTACTGCATGATTATCCACAATCCAGTGATTATTTAATAAGGTCTTTAGGAAATTGTACTAAATCATAGGGGCGTGCTTTTATCAGTAGATATTTCACAGCTGGTGTACAGTCAACCTTTCGTAATGAGGGTGAGAACTCAACACTAAAATGCTTCTTTGGAAGTTCAAGTCTTTCATTATGTGAACTATTTGATGCCTTAGAAAAAAAGTACCAAGAAGAAATCGATTATTGCAAGTTTGTAAGTTAGAAGCAAACCATGCCACAAGTAGGATCAAAAAATGCAGCACGAAGCATTTTCGAACCAATAATAAGACAATTGAATGAGTTTGTGATGCCAAATATAATGAAAAAGTAGGAAGAGCAAATGAACTTAAGTTTCTATTATCACACTGTGGAGGTTGATCTTGAAGCTATATTTTCTAAAGAGAGGATAAGATTTTCAGTCAATCTTCACTCATCAATATGGGTTTTAACTATTCATGGCATAAACTGTAATAGTTTCGATTGCATCTTTGAGGCCGTGTTTACTGAATTTTTAGGGTTAATTATGGGCTGTCATCAATAGAAATAAGGCAGATTTATTAGAGAAATCTGTCTTATTTCTATTGATGATAGTAGATATAATGTGAAGGATAATTAGATTCTGTGCTTTTGCAATTTTATTAGGATAGATTATCAATGAGCTATTTTTTTACATTATTATAACAAATATCATTGGTTAATTATTTATTTCTTTTATCACATATTATTTTAGGAAGTTGATAAATCAGAACAGTGTATTGACAACTTATTCGATTGCCCACAAATACAATTAAAATCACTTCTAAATGATTTTTCAACAATTCTTGAATTCTGGGAAGTTATGTACTTATTAAATTCTGACACTTCTCATTTTGTATATCTTTT